TTTCAGAAAAATTAGAAACTTGTAGTTGAATTTATGAATAATTTCTTCAGGTTACTCATTGGGACCTTATGTCTCTGTTTGGTCACCTAAAGATAACATGTCTTGTAGCTTTGCTCTTTCCAGTGATTTATACCAACAAGCCTTGTTCCTCTGCATGGTCCCTGAAACTTAAAGTGACCTACTACGTGGAATGGAAGTCTCCTTAGCATCCCCCCCTAATTTATACCAGTTCCTTTATTGAGGATCACAATATAAAATTGAGGCCTGTCCATGGGAAAAACTTTCATTACTTACCCTCCTGTCGAATTCTTGCCCTTGTTTGAATAATCTTCAAAATGCCAGCCAGTTAGACAGAAAAATATTTTTAAAATATTACTAAGGTTTCTCCTGTTAATGCTACAAGATCCCCACTTTTATAAGTACCTTGAAGACCAAAAATGAGTTGGTCTACTACAAGAACCCATAGCTGGAAACTGGCATCTAGAACGTGCATTAAAGGTCTATTTCATTCCAATTAAAACACTGTAGTGTTAAATGTGACTAATACATCTACAATATTTTAATCTATACTAAATTGTTTTATAATAAAATATTATTTGACTTGGAACAAATTATTACAGAAATATTATTAGTTTCTTCAAAATTCAGTGAGAAAAATATTAGTCTTTGTTCCCCAAATTCTTTGATATCAGGAAATATAATTTGAAGTGTGACTTCAAAAAAACTGCCTTGCCCACTTTTATTTTTATCATTATTTATTTATCACAATTTGTGTAATTCTTATTTGAAGATGTCAGATATTCATTAGATACTTATCAATTGATAAATTGCTGAGAAAATTTAACACTTATTCTTCTATTTATTTGCAGGACATTTGATGGAGACTATGCCACACTCTTAGTAACTTAAGATCTTAGCATTTAATTATGGAATTGTATTTGAGATTAAAAAAACACACACACACGAAGTTAGCCAGCCATGGAAAACAACTTAAATATTTTGATCTGTAAAAAGAGCTATATTCACCTCTGTTCTCCAAGAAATACTCTTGACAGTTTTATTATTTATACTAATCCTTTTTCTACAAAGGATTTGAAGTGGCTCACAGAAATGTGTGAATTTTATAAGGAAGGAGTTAGCGGTGAAGGGAACTTCTAGGTAAAGAAAGAAAAGTGAGAGATAAAATTTTCATTCAAATCTTTAAGATGTAAAATCCTAAGAAATTGCTAGAAGTGGGGCTAGAAAACCTTTCTTAATTCTAGTTAAAGGGGTTAAATGGTATGTATTATAAAACCAAAATCCAGTCACAATATTCATTTCCAATAAAACATTAGGAAGATTGGACTATACCTAATATTTTATTTTATTTTTTCTCCTCACCTGAGGATATTTTTCCATTTTTTGTACAGATAGAGTGGGAGGGAGAGAGAGGAAGGGAGAGAGAGAGAGAAACATCGACATGAAGGGACACATCGAGTGGCTGCCACCCGCAAGACCAACCAGAGCCGGGGACAAACTGCAACCGAAGTACGTGCTTTTAGCGGGAACGAACCCGGGTCTTTCCAGACCGCAGGCCGACGCTTTAACCGCTGAGCCAAACCTAATATTTTAAACAATCACTAATAGTCAAATAAGGAGCATCAGTGTGTACAAGAATAATGAAGATGTTCACATTATTTGCTAATTCACTTATAAAAGTTGGTACGAAAGTGATATCATGAGAATCTAGAGAGAGAAAATATCTCACAAATGTCTTAGCTTTGTAGTTTTAGTGCCTAACATTGTTTAATATCTTTTTGTAACTCAGATATTTGTTGAATGAATGAATTAATGAATGAGTAATCAATGAATTAAGAGAGGAATGGGGAAAAAAAGATATGGCTCTGGGGATCCAGACGACTTAAATTTTGGGATCACGGAAACAAAGTGTGTTTGGGTTTCACTTTTTTACATGCAGAAACCCCCTGGGAAAGGGTCCGGCCCCTCCCCCCCAGTCCTGCTCCCCCTCTGTTCCCTATCCCAGCGGGGGCCAAAGCCTCCTTGGAGTCGGACAGGGGAAGTGAGCAGAGACCGGACCCCTGGCAGACGGAATGCTGCCCCGCCCCATCCGCATCCCCAGCCCCATCCCCATCCTTCCCACCGGGGCTCCCAGCAGGTTGCACCGTACAACTCCCATGGAGCTGTGGAAGGTTGGATAAGAGTGGGAGCAGGATGAACTCCACCACTGGCCCCCCTCCGCTTCCTCGCCGCCCCCGCGTGGAAGGACAAACTCTTGTGTCCAGGGCTGACTTTTAATAGATCGCAGCAAGGGAGCTGCCCTGCCAGGGACCAAACCCTACCCAGGAGCTGGGCGCCTGTGGATGGTTTAGAACTAGGTTTCCCAGGAACGTGCCTTGAGTGATGGACAAGGAGGGCAGCTCCCTTTCCGGCTGCTTCCCATTTCCCGGGATGGGGGCTCTCCACACCTGACCTGGATCTGACCCTTGGCAGGGACCAGCTGAGGCCAACCGAGGCTCAGAGTCCGTCGTCACTGGCGCTCTGCTTAGTCAGGCTCAGCGAGGGCTGCAGCTCTACGGCCGCCCACGCGCTACCAGATCTCCATCTGAGCTCGCTTTCTTGGCTTCGTGTTCTGTGGCAGGGTCCTGCTAAATTTTAGCCAGATCTCTTGGCTGGTCAAATCTAGTGCACCCTCCACGGCCCGCATAGGATTTTCCCTGTAGTGTGATTTCGGTCCCTGAAATGGATATGAAACCAGTGGCTTCCAGGTGTATGTGCTCCCTCCCTGTCATTGTTCCAGTGTTCTGAATATTTAGTCACAGTAGTCAATAATCCCAAATATCTATTCTTGGATTCCTCTCTCCTGAATTAGTCTGGAGTAAAGGTAGCTGTTCTTTCTTCTTGGATAGAGTTCACACTTGAAAATATCTTTTGGCCAGAACTTGAAACAGAGCACCTGGACCATCAGTGGCGCAGGCCTGCTGAAGGTGGTCTTTGGAGAATCTCTGAGGAAAGTGGCAACGTTTACAGCTGGTTGCAATTTCAACCATGTGGTGCAGAATGAAAAACAAGAACCCATAGTCTGATGGCAAGTGGAGTGTGTGCCTGGTTCCAGGAGCCTTCCTGTGGTGGGTGGTTTTCCTGGAGCATCAGAACCCAGGTGGTGCTGCGCCGCCCCATCTGTGGCATTGGCTATGCTCTGACAATGTGGCGAGATTTTTGTGATCAAACAGAAGAGGACATTTCATTACCTGGAGTATAAGAAGCGGGTGCCCACATAGGTCTGCCTATTATAGAAGGGGTCAAGGTGGAGCTATGACACGCTGGGGTGGGGGTTGGGTGGCCCCCACTTCATGCAGCCTGGGACGAAACAGGCTCTGGTTGGACACACTGCAGAATGGGTTTTTCCTAATCATTTCATGTCACCATTTACTCTTGAATAAATGTCAGAAGGCCTTAGGACCAAAGGAATCCTACACCGATTTCACCTCTGGGAGCAACTGTTCTTGGGCTGAGTCAAGATAAGATGTGGATTAAAGGTGGACAAGGAGCAAAATAGCAACACTCAGCATTGCCCCTGCAGAGTGTGCCCTGGGGTAAGCCCAGGCCACATGCCATCCTTTGAGGCCAAAAGTGCATTTAGGATGTACTCTGGAGAGGTGGACTCACTACTCTGCATAAGGCTTCTTCAGCGGGAAGGGTTACGTGGGCACCAGTGCTTTTTTAGCATTAGAAACACATCGAAAATCTTGAACAGAAAAACACAACGGCACAGCTTTAACCTCCTTATTTCTGTCCTTGGTGCATGAGCACCTATACAGTTTTAAAGACATTTCCTTATAAGGCACTATGGCTCTTCAGATCTTTAATCATATTTACATATTTTAAAAATAAATAGTATAAATTCAAAAGAGAGTCAGGGTTTATAGCCCCATCTTTTATTTGGCAGAAAGGAGGCATAGGCACCCCAAGGATTTGGCTGAGCAGGCCAGGAATCCCATGGGCCCTGCCCTTCTCCCAAGACAGGGCTGTTATCAGTGACAGGCATGTCAAAGATGTGTCATTTGTCCCTTATCCCAGCAATGCTTGCTCAACACCTGGTCTGTGCAAGGCTTTGCTAAACACTGAGAAGTACCCGTCTTCATTTATTTGGGATTTTATTCTTTAACAATAGCATATAGTTTGGTGTTTTGATCTGAATCTATTAACTATTGATTTCTATGTTCTATTCTCAAATTTTCATCATCTCTAATGCCATTTCAAATTGTCTTCTAAAGGGTTCTGAGAACACACAAAACTATAAAATTTAAGTTGACTCATGAAAGTCTTAATTAAAGCAAATAATCCCAACTGACATTTAGTCATATTTTTGTTTATTTCAAGATTAGGGAGAGTGGTTGGCTTTATGAGAAACATAAACTCTTTCAAGACCCTTCTTTAATTCTGGACTCGACTGGAACTTGGTCTCACTGAGAGCCGTCCACGCGGTTCTGTAGTGGCGCGGGGGTGTGGAATATGAAGGCAGGGCCCTGCCACGCCACACACCTCACCCTGCCACGAGGCTTTGGCGGGGCCACCTCCCTCACCTTTCCGGGCCTAGACCTCCCCAGCTGCAGGAGTCGATACCACCTACCACCTCACAGAGTGTTGTAAAGACTTAGAAGAACACACATTTTTAATACTTACATGAGTGATGACATTAATGGAATCTATACTGTGTAAGAGTTACACAAAAATAGACATTTGGTTAACTTGACCAAACACTGGAAATATATATTCAAGAGTGCATTTGACTAACTCAAAACAGTATTAATTTATAGACTTCATGGCCTAATAAAATTTTGTCATACCAAAAAGGAAAAGCAAAAAAAAGGACTGCCCTTCCACAGTCAAGGGGAGCGAGCTCATCACAAAAGTGAACTGCATGTCCTAGAGGACACCGTCCCCCTTCGGTGCTAGACCCTATTCTACCCCAGGAACGACATCTTCCACTGGTATCAGGGTCACTCGAAGCTCATGGACCGTTCTTCATCAGATGTCATTGTGTTTGACTGTATGTGGACCCCTGGTGACGACCGCAGAATTGTGCCCTGTGTAATGAGGCTTGCATAGCCTTCTTGGTGGGAGAAAGCATAACTGGAGCGCCGGGCACGTGGTGGCAAAATGATTTCCTCACTTGGGACCTCTTCTTCCTCCTCCTCCTCCACTTCCTCCTCCCCTTCCTGCAGAGCAAAGGGGCAAACAAGGGTGATCAGTCTCCCACACTGTGTGAATTGCTCTCAGGTCACCTGCTCCCGGTGGGGGCCATTCAGAACCCTTGGCCACCATTCATTGGCCAGGCTCTTCCCTACCCAAGTTGACCCAACTGAAGTCCTTCCTGGAACCGGACTCTGGATCAGCTACCAGGCACCTTAAGTTAACCATGGGGCATATACATCTCCAGCCTGTGTGGCAGAACATGGTAAGTCTGTGGCCATAACTTGGTTCACTATTCTAGTTAATTCTGCAGTGCATCCCAGCTGCAAATGGTCCTTATAGGTTTCTGTTACCTGAGCCAGTAAGTCCCCCCCACCCTTCTTTCATTGTGGTAAAATAGACTCAACTGTCCCATTTTAATCATTTTTAAGTGTACACCTTGGTCGCATTAAGCACACTTATTCACATTGCTGTGCAACCATCACACCTCCCATCCATCTGCAAAACTCGTCTTCCCAAACTGACACTGTCCCCATTAAACACGAACTCCCCCAGCCCCTGGCTCTCACTATCTCCTTTCCGTTTCTATGAATCTGACTCCTCTAGGGACTGCCTCCTATGAGTGGAATCACACAGTACTGTCCTTTTGTGACTGGCTTATGTCACTGACTATAATGTCCTCAAGGTTCATCCACATTGCAGCAGGGGTCAGAATTTCCTTGTTTTTAAAAGCTGAATAATATTCCACCATGTGGATGATCCTCATACTGTGTTTATCCATTTAACTATTGATGTACAGGGAGGGGGGTGGTTCTAAGCTAACCCCCTTTTGCTTAAACCTTTTCCAGGTAATTTCTGTCATCATAACCCCCAAGTCCTAAATAATTCGTGGTGAAAGTCTGATGATGTCAGCACTGGAACTAGGCTGGCTGCCTCCACCCTAAAAAAAGTAGTTTCCTCCCTAGGGTCCCAGGGCCTGGTATTTGCTCCCCACCACTGAGGTCACTGGATGTGCATCTGGGTCTCCAACCCCCGACCCCCAGCTCTGCATCTCCTTGGAGTCCCTTCTTCCTGTAATGTGCAATGGGAACCCCAGCCACCCTCACCTTGGGAAGTGGTTGCTTGAGGGCTTGGTAAATGACACGAAAGGCAAGTACAGGCAGGGTGTTTAATGACACATTTAGCAGAACCACCAGCAGGATGGCGGGGTGAGACAGTATGTTTCGGTCAGCATCTGGAAGGGACAGGGCAGGGTCATGTCCTGGCCCAGGGTGGAGCCTTCCCAGAGCCTGCTCCAGGCCCCCTATTCCCGACCCAACACCCCACCTCCTTCATCACCCTTCCCGCACAGGATGCCTTTGTGCGAATTCCCCTAAGACACAGGTCCCACCCATCTCCAGGGCTGCCGCCCAGTCCCCTGCTGGGGGGCTCACACAGAAGAGGGAAGTTCTGGGGGGAGATTTTGAAGAGAAACAAGCTCTGGCTGGTCCAAGTTATGACAGTGTAGAAGCAGAGGCTGAAGAAAATGGCCAGCACAGTCAAAACCGTCCAGTACCTGATGATGATGATGACCTGGATGGGAAAAAAGGAGGTTTATTAAGCCCAGGGGCCAGAACTCCAGGCAAGGCTATGTGGAGGAAGTTGAAGGGCAACACTTGCTAAGGTCTTTCAGGCAGGGTCACCAGGTGATGAGACCTTCATAGCTCATGTCCAAGGTCTCACTGGGGGTGGAATGGGCAGCAGCCCTGCCTACCTCCATGGTCCCTGCCTACCTCCATGGTGACAGACAGCACGCCTGACAGGGACATGACTGAGGAAAAAGACTGAAAGTCGCTGAGGGGCTCAATAATGTCATGGCTGATCCATAGGGTCATGAAGAAGTTGACCAGGGAGGTGGCAATGCCATGGACCATGGCTTGGAAGAAGACCCAGTAGTTGAAGAGCTTGTCCTTCTGGCCAGCTATGTACAGCTCCGGCAGCTCCAGGCTCTGCTCATCACTGACGTCCTGGGGTGGGGGCAGGAATAGAGGGATTCTGGAGATTGGTTTCACAGCAACATTCACGCTTGGCATGTCTGAACCATGCACGTGAGAATGGTGAGATGGTGAATTTTATTACCGGTGTTTTACCACAGTTTAAACACTTAAAAAAAATGTAAAGTCCCATTCCTCAAGTCACACCAGGCACACCTCAAGTGCTTATCACTAACCACCTGTGGCCTGTGGCTTCTGTCTGGACAACATAGGCATGAGGCACTTCTATCACCCTAAAAGTTCTACTGGACTGTCTGCCCTATCTGGATCCCTTAACTAGACCCCTCTCTGGAAGGAAGGCAGGGTAAACAGGAGAAACATCATAGCTGGGCAAGAGGGCTCTACCCACTATTAGGTCGGGCTCTAGTGGGAACAGCTTCATGGTAGTAATCTCCCAGAACCACCCTTCAGCCCACTCCTTCCCACCCCAAGGGGAGAATTTGGGGCAGAGACAGGATCATGTACAGGGACGGAGGAGGCAAGTCCTTGGTCTGCTCACCTGCTCAAAGAGCCCAATGTACAGAACTGGGAGGGTGGTGTACAGCAGGTTGAAGAGCGCTAAGAACCAGCCTCCATACAGAGGCTAGGCAGGGGAGGGGAAGGGAGAATATGGTTAGTGGTCATCCTTCAGATGCCAAATGGCAGGAAACAAAAATGCCCTTTACCTGAAGAGACCCTCCCAAGCTACCTCTGCACCTGGGGAGATTCCTGGTAAGTTAGAAAAGTATGTTATAATCAAGGGTTGGGTTAAGCGTGGCTGGAAGATTCAAAAGCTGAGAGTAGCAAGATCTAATTCTTTTAAAACGGCACCTTTGAGTATTTGTTTTGAGAGCTGCAAATAAAGAACTACACAAGGAAACATGGCTAAAAAAGTGGATTTTGGTCATTTTAGATTTAGGGAGTCACTGATGGGTAAAAGAGTTGGAAGAGACTCCACTAGACAATGCACCCAACTAACTCCCTTCCCAATGCATGAATCCAGTCCAGTTAAAATATGGGGAAGGGGAACTGATGGCTCAGTTCCAAAAACCTTTTATCTTTCTAATTAAAAAAAAAATATTTTAGACTTTTAGAGAACGAAGAAGGGAGAGAGAGGGAGAAACATTGATGTGAGAGTGAAACATCGACTGGCTACCCCCTGAAGGCCCCCCACCAGGGATTGAGCTTGCAACCCGGCTATATTCCTTGACTGGGAATCAAACCGGCAACCTTTGGGTGCACAGGATGACAGCCAACTGAGCCACATCGGCCAGGGCCCAAAACCCAACTTATGTGCATTCTGTGTGTGGTGCAAATAAGCAATGGTCAAGAATTTTACAATAATCAAGTTTCTCACTGCTGGAGGGAAAGAGACATAAATGAGTACCTGGGAAAGGCTAAGCTGAGCCTTGTCCTGCAGGACTGGAATCAGAAGTATCAGTGTGAATTCATAGTTTTTTAATATACACAAGGTAGACAGATGGATAGACATATAAATAGAAATAGACATACAGATGTGTGCCTATCTATGGGCTAATACGTGTACATTTCCTAGCTCTGTCTACTGAAAGGTAATAGCACCCCAGTAGCAATGAGCAGACAAAGCACTTAGCTCTTGGTGTCTAACACTATCCTTTCACGGCTTCTTATGGGAGTGGCTGATTCCAGGGTTGGGGCAAGGAAAGAACCAAATTAGCCTGGACCCTCTTGTAGCACCAGAAAATGAAGATATACTCAGGCAAAATACAGGTCCATATCAAAAGGACAAAGTGGGGATGAACAGAGCAATGAAATACACAATAAAAAATAACCAGGAGTCCATACTGATACAAATAAGTAATTTTGTAAATAAATGAAGGAGAAGGACCGACTGGTTCTTCCTACAGAAGAATTGCAGTTAACAAAGAGGAAAAGACTGAACACTCTCCTAGCTAAGATCAGGAACAAAACATGGATGCCAGCCCTCACCAGCTCACTGGGAGTTCTAGCCAGAGCAATTAGATAAGAGGAAATAAAAGGTATCCAAATTATAGAGAAAGAAAGGGAAAACACTATCTCTATTTATATATGACATGCAGAAAATCTAAAAATATCCACTAGACATCTCCTAGAGCCAATAGAATTGAGCAAATTTGCAGGGCACAGACCAACACACAAAATTCCATGTATGTTTCTACACACCAGCAATAAGCAATCCCAAAAGAGAATTAAGAAAACAAATTCAATGCACAGCAGCATCTAAAATAATAAAATATTAATAAAAAAGTATAACAAACAATACATGCTTATTCAAGGATGCCCTCTAGTAAAGCTCCCTCTCCAATGCCTGGGTATCAGTGACAGAAAGCATATTCCCTATCGTGGCTGTCTATTTTCTCACAATTTCCTTACACTCATGGGAAATCATCACCCTCTGACCCTTGTAAGGCTCCAGGAGACACATCTGTTCTTCACCATGATACTGTCAAAAATGTCTTGAAGTCAGAAACCCAGCCCCCTGAGTCTTATTTTCTCTTGGGTTGAAGCGTTCCCTCTTTGCCCTAGAAGGGTCTACCCTTTGGAGCATCTGCTGCCCTGCCCTGGCTTCAGAGCTCACATCTGCCAAACATCCTTGAAAATGTTGGGCATAGCACTGAACAGGAACCATTCCCTCCCTTTGTCTGGACTCTACACTTCTATGAATGCAGCCATAGAAATGGTTGCCAGGCCTTGCAACCTCGGGGAAGCCCTGCCCCATGAGGACCTCAGAATGTGAGCGGGCACTCCTGGAGGCCACAGGAATGGCACAGTACCCCTCATCCAGAGAATAACCAAAGGGCTGTTTCCTCCAGTGCACCTGGGCAGTGAAGCCATTATACAAAGCGAACCAGATCTGAACCATCATGATGGCCAGTGTCTTGTAGATGAAGTAGCGTAGGAACTTGCAGACTCGCATGTAGGACCAGCGCCCGTGCACCAGCAGCAGCCGCCTCAGGAAGCGGAACTGGGCTAGCATGTAGTCGCTGTTCTGCACTGCCTGCATGCCCTCCTGGCCTGCCAGCCCCACGCCGATGTCCGCAGCTGCAGGGACACAGGTAGCATGTTGGCCCTGGGCCACCCCCAGCCGCCACAGGCCTCCCCCCTAGGCCTGGTGCCCACACCCACTCTTGATCATGTTGACGTCATTGGCTCCATCCCCGATGGCCAGGGTCACCACATTCTGGTACTTCTTGACCAGGGCCACAATCAGGGCCTTCTGCTTTGGTGTCACCCGGCAGCAGATGACTGCTTGGCACCTAGAGGCCAGTTCCACAAAGGCCCGCTCTCGCCACACCTCAGGGTTCTCGGGTGTGCTGTCCTTATTCTGCAGCACCAGCCCTGTTTTGCTCTTCATCATCTGGTCCTGGCCAGCAAGGGAGGGTGGGGGGAAGAGGGAGCATCACTCTGCCTGCATCCCTCCCCTTTGTGAATGTCCCCAACTGGCCTCTTCTCCTTCCTGGCCTTCTGCCCCAAACCCCAGGCTGGACTTGATTACATGGGCTACTAGCATAACACTCTCTTTGGTTTTCCTAATAGTCCACCCCACCCTCAGTCTGCTGCCCTCCCAGCCGCCTCCCTGGTCCAGGAACCCCCCCAGTGAGGCCTGAGCTCACACTGACCAGGAGCTCTCCACTAACGATCATGGCAGCCATCTTGATCTGTGGCAGGTTGCTGTTGGTCTCCTGGTAGGCTTCCAGGATCTGACTGCGGGGACCCAGCTGGAGCTCAGCCATTCCCAGGCACAAGCTTCCTTCCATCCCCTAGCCCCAGCTGTGCCTCAGTCCCCCCTCTGGGAATCCAGCTAGGTGGAAGCTGAGGACACTCTGCTGACCCCCAGGGCCACATGTGGGCAGCCATCGGTGTTCACCATTCCCCACCCTCACCCTGCCCCCACCCAGCTCATCCACCCCCACCCCCAACTCCTTACATTATCTCCTCCTCCTGCAGGATGTGCATGTCCCCAGATAGCAGCTGGCAGGCAAAGCCAATGTTTACCGCAGTCTCTGCAAACCAGCCTAGCTCAGCCCTCTGCCTAGGGTCCATGCCCACCTACTCTGCCCCACTCCTGGCTATGGCAATTGGTTCAGAGAAAGGTAGTAACCCAGGCTGGCCAATGAAAGCCAACCCTGGGACTTTAGCTGCAGCTCTGAGCAAAGAGGTCTACACTCTGGCTGTCTAAGGCAGGGGCCAAGGGATCATTAGACCTATCATGCTAGGGCCCACAGGCACTTTTAGGAACCCACAAAAATGACTTAATTTATTTAAAAATCAGAATAAAAAGTAAATATGTATTCCAGCCTGGCCATTAGTTTTTATACCAACACTGCTGTAAAATGTTATTTTAAATATTTTGTGTGTATATGCCTCCAGCCCACAGAAGTGCTAATGCAGACCCTGCTTGCACTGGCCCGAGGGAGGTGCGTGGGGGACCTCAGCAGTTGTAATCATCCCATTTCTCCCTTTCCTTTCCCCAGGACAAGGTGGGGGGCAAGGCTGAACCCAAACCAATGGGACAGACTGATGATGGTGCCTGCACCTACCTTGCTTGTCCCCTGTGAGTACCCACATTTTGATGTTCCCTTGCTTGAGACTATGGATAGTTTCAAGGACACCATCCTGGAGCTTATCTTCAATGGCTGTGACTCCCAGCAGCTTGAGGGAAGGGGGAGTGGCGAGAAGGAACAGACTAAGCAGGGACCCAGCTCACCCTGGCCCCAGTGGAGATCCAGGGTCCCCAGCAGGCTGGAACCAGGGTGCTGGGGTCCCCTCACCTCCTGTGCTGCACCTACCTGGAGGTTCTGCTCGATCTCCTCATACACCTGGTGCAGGGCTTCAGCCCGGTTCTGAAGAAGGATGTTGGCTTCCTGGTGCCGCTGGCGCCACTCCTCATATGTGTCCTCATCCATCTTCCTGTAGGCCAGGCACAGAGTGCGCAGGGTCTGCTCGGCAAAGGACTGGGGACCAGCCAGGTGGACAGCACCACCTTGTCACCACTTGACCTCCCGGGGCGCTTCTCCAGCCGCCAGTTCTCTCAGCCCCTCTCCCTCTGCCTGGCTCCCTGACTTTTTTTTTATCCTCACCTGAGGACATTTTTCCTTTTTTTTTTTGTTCAGATACAGTGGCAGGGAGAGAGGGGAAGAGAGAGAAAGAGAAACATTGACGTGACAGGGACACATCGAGTGGTTGCCACCCACACGACCCAACCAGGGCCGGGGACAAACTGCAACCGAGGTACATGCCCCTAGCGGGAACCGAACCCGGGTCTCTCTGGACCGCAGGCAGACGCTCTAACCGCTGAGCCAAACTGGCCAGGGCATGGCTCCCTGAACTTTGGTTGCACCTCCCCGGTTCTTGGTCGGAGACCAGCTGCCTGCCCTGGACTCCCCCTCTTGACAGAGCAGGGCACTCTGAGAAGTCCTGAGTGAGAGGCCCAGGACATTCTTTGAACAAACACCTCCCTGGCCTTGTGCTGGGTGATGCTGGGGCGCAGCCAAGCCTTTGGGCAACCCAAAAGGGGCAGGGCTGGGCCACAGAGCAGTAACCTGGCATGACATGTCAGCCCCATGTTAGGGTCCGGCAGGAAAAGTCTCTCTGGAGGTGGTAGAACACTGAGGACCGAAAGATCCTGGTGGCAGAGGGGAGGAAGGCATCGAAGCAAACAAATAGTGTGTGCAAAGGTCCTGAAACATCCCCTGAGCATGGGGAAAACTGCAAGCCAGAATCTGGGATCCTGGGAAATGCCCGGTGGGGGGGGGGGGCAGGCAAGGAGAGCCAGTTAGAGGCCAGCAGTAGACACAGACAGAGCCTCGAAAGCTTAGCTGAGAAGCTTGGGCTTCAACCATGGAGAAAAAAGATTTGGGGCTGTGTGTCCCCAGAACCTAGGCCTGACTGGGAGAGGTTTCGGGGTTGGGGGGTGGTCCAGGGCCAAAACCTAACCACAGATGGTCCCTTGTGTCACTTAGAAAAATTGTCCCCCTCTGTGTGGGTATAGCATGAAGTTCAGCTCCTCTCTGCTCATATGTGTTGGGGAAGAGCACAGCCTGGCCAACTGTACATGACTACCCTTCCTACCTGAGGCCATTTCTCTGCACATCTGCTTTCTCTACCCTTCCTCCCTCCCTGCCCACAGTGACTCACAGTTAATGCCTCTTCTGTGGCTGCTTTCATGATCTGCTCTTTCTTATGAATGCCTTTTTTATGCAAGCGTTCAAAGAGGACACTGTCTGCCCCTTTGGTGTAGAGGTAGATGGAGCCCTCGGGGTTTCGGACTGTGGAGGGAGAGGCCTGACTAACCATAAGTGTTCCCTCTTCCTGCTCACCGCCATCCTTGGGTCGAGGGTGCTCACCTAGCACGGACATACGCTTTCTGATGCTGTTGAAGTCCATCATGGCCAGGACCTCATATACCCGCTCTTCCCCCAGCTCCATCACTGTGATGCTGTTCTGTGTGCGTGCCAGGAACACGTAGCCAAAATTCCGGGCTGCTGTGACCAGTGCCTCCTCATCAGGGGAAGCTGCCTGGTACAACAGCTGGTCTGGCAGAGGAGGGGACCAACCATGGGAGTGGGATGGGGGAGGGGTGCATTCTCTAAGAGCCTGCTATCTCTTCAGGATCTACCACCCATATCCGAAGCCCAGGGGAAGAAACGGACACAGTGGGTGGTCACCAAATATTGATAAGACAATGGTCTCTTGGGCAAGTCAACCTCTAAGCTGAATAAAAGAAGGTGGGCACTTGGATCCCAGTTTAGATAACCCTCCTCCTCCCAGCTCAGTAACAGACCTAGAGCCCTATGCCTGAGCACCCTCAAAGCCGGATGACAGAAGCCCTGGGTGTTGGAATGGACAACCTCGAAGACCAGAAGACCACCTCAGAAGTCCCAGTGCCTGGGCAGCAAGAGAAGCACTTACTGTCTTTCTCGCCCACCATCACCGTGTGGCAGATAGCCAGCAGGCGCCAGAACTCCTGCACCATGCTGTCCTCATTGCTGCGCACAATGTTCAGGAGACTTGAGTTTTGGAAGAGCAGCTTCCCATCAGCAAATCTGTTCCAGAGGTAGGGGTTCTCCTTAGATGGGGCCTCCTCCTCATCCGGGCTGTAGACAATGCCGTTGATGCAGCACTTCTTGAAGGTCATGATGTTCTGTGTGAGCGTGCCGGTCTTGTCCGAAAAGATGTACTCCACCTGGCCCAGCTGGACGTTGAGGCTGGTGCTGCGGGCTTTGGCAGGTATGTCCTGGGGCTCGTAGTACATTTCCACATCCCAGTCAATGAAGATACTGTTCCCCAAGTAGATGAATTCGGCTCTGCAAACACATGCCGGGTCATGCCCTGTCCCATAGCCCACCAGAACTCCCACTTTTCTCCGGCTGAGGAGGGGGTGGGGAACAGGCCCCAGGACTCACATGATGAACATGGCCATGGGCATCATAACACTGAGCAGAATGAGGAAGCTCAAGAACATGAGGAGAGACTCGCTGGTAATGCTGTACCTGTGCTTGTCAGGCACATAGTAGTGCTTGGTCTTAAATTCTGCCACCTTGTTCCAGAAGCCCAAGGTCAAGGCCATAGAGATCAGCACCAGGAATACAAAGATCTGCTCAGTGAACGGGAGACAGGAGAGTATATGGAGGGATCCAGGGCAGCACCGAGATACCACAAGTGAAAAGACAAACAGGAGATGGGAACCCCCCTATCAGGATGGGGGAGGGGAAGTGGGAGGAGGTACCTGGCTGTCCTAGGAGGAGGGTACTTGCAGGGGTTTTGCTGGAATTTCTGGCTACTATTATAAAAATTATTACAATGACTTATTTAAAAAGACAGCTGATTAGGCAAAAAGTTAAGAATTGTTAAATAAACGTCCATGGGGGGTAGGTGAGCACTTTATCTCCTGTGGGTTTGGAAAAATGTCAGGATTGAGACATTTTTTAAATATTGTCATTATAAGAAGAATCTCTGGCCCACAGACCTCTGTCTGTAGGATCAGGTTGCACATATTTTGCAGAGGAAGGAAACTAAGGCCTGAAAAGTGACAGCTGGGACTTTTCCCTTCCCTCTTCGGTGTCCAGCCCCCTACCCCAGGCAGGAGCTCTAGGAAGCTCACCAGGATCACCAGCCTGTTCATCAGATAATCTATCTTGGTTCTCTTCAGCTGGACTTTGCCACAGTTCCTCATGATCTTTGTGTCAAAACCTGCAGGGTTTACATTCAATCTGTCTGTCCACCTGCCCATCCATCCACCTCATCCTCATCCCTCTGTCACCCCACCCCTCCACCCATCCATCCACCTACCTGCCCAGCCACCCATCCATCTAGATACAAGGGTGCTGGCTCAATATGTTTATTTTCAGTTTTAGAATCCAAGGCTCCATAGAAGCTGTGCCAGGACCTCCACATTTCATGGCGGCGGACACATGGCAGCCAAGCCCTGGCCTTGTGACTTCTTGCCAACAACTTCAGGGTTCTCCCCCAACCCTCCCAAGAACAGCTCATGCTGCAGTGACCCCAGAGCGACTGTACCAGCGTAGATGACCATTCCATAGCAGGTGTCTGTGTTTCGAATCTTGCAGCCACGTAGAAGGATGTTGCCACTATCCAGGGCGTATTCCTTGCCCTCCAACTCCAGACGCCCCGTAAAATGGTGCATCCGACTGTTGGGTTCTTCACACACCACCTTGCCTGTGGGTGACAGAGCAACAGGAAGCCGAGGGACATGGCTGGGAGTGGGCCATGCCTCTCCAATGCAGGGTGAGGCAAGGTGGGGGGAATATTCCCCATCCCCCTTCCTGCTCCAGACACCCTCGCACTGCCCCAAACTTGTTCCACTGGCACTTCCACCCCTCCACCATGCAGCCTCCTCTCCTGGATGCTCCAAAAGCTCGTGCTGTAGAGCCTCAGGGCCTTAGTGCATGCTGTTCCCTGTGCCAGGACTCGCACCTCCTTTGGGGAAACCCTTTCTTCTGATCCTCCAGCCAGATCAGGTCTCCCCCCACCAAGCCCCCTTCCTCCTGGTTTCAATCGTGGGAGGTCACTAGACATTTATTCCTGCCAGTGGTATCTCAAATACCTGTGAGTTCTGTGGGAAGAGGTGCCGGCCTGGTCTCCATTATGCTGTGGACCTTAGGACGAGCCCAGCACCTGGTACACAGTGCCTGCCCCGCCACTAAGTGAGGCTTTCCTCAGATATCATGAGAACAAGTGCAACCAGTGTTTGAATGTCAGGAGCAAAGGGCTGTGCTTCGAGAGAAAGATCATGCTCCAGCACCAATTAGAATAACTTGTCTTTACAACAAGACAGGAAAAGAATAATGGATCCCCTGCTGGGCCTTAGGCAAACAGTACTTGTAACCCACAATGTGAAATGTTTCATTTTTCAGGTGGGAAATAATATAATACAATGGACCAGTCGGTTCCCTGTCTCTGTGCACACAACAGGCTGCCTTTTTGATTAAACAACGAAAAATATTTGATTTAATGTGATCATTTAAAAAATAAAATGTAATGCCTGATAAAGTGGTACAACTTGTTTTGTAACAATAACAAAACACCCCGACTGTTACATGGATTCAGAGGACATGAAACAGGACAAGGATAAGCTGGCCTATTAAAAGCTATCTTACCTCCCTCCAGAAAATTCCATCACCATCCCCCAAAACACAGTGAAGTTTAGAACTTTCATGTCTACTGTACAGAGGGGCAGACAAAGGCCCAGAGGGGGTGGATGGTGGATGAACTGCCACTTCTCACCTTGGAAGGAAGCCATGTCCCCTATATTGGTCAGTTCATGATGTGTGACTATCAAGGCCTGCCTGTACTTCAAGTTGGTCTCCCTGGTGATGAGAAGGGAAGTGAGGTAAGAGATGGGGACAGACAGCACTCAGGCAAGGCACCCCCATCCCCTTTCCAGACATTTTATTGAGCCTCTACTGGGCATACCAGCTGCCAATCAGGAGGCTGCAGCCCAGAGAGGGAGAAGGCCTTGCCCAAGGTCACGCAGCACATTTTCAAAATGGCTGAGGCTAGATCCCCGACCCTCTTTTGCGCAGGTACATCTGAAGCACAGTAGGACTTCCAGAAATGTTGGTGCAGAGAAGGCAGATCTCTTTGTCTGATTTAATGTTATTGCCCATGCCAGCTTGTAGGTACCCCACACATGGTTCCAGGATGAATGACCTAAGTATCCCCATGGGCTTGGGGAGCCACATTTTGTGGCTGTTTGGGAATGGGGAAGGCTTCACTGACTCCCAGGCCCCCAGACTCCTACCGATAACCCACGTCTCACCCGTCTATGTCAGCAGTCTCCACGTAGCACAAGCTGCTGGGCTCCGTGCTGGACAGCAAGAGCACGTCAGCCTGGAGTGGGGAGGATGGGGATGAGAGGGAAGAAGCAGCACTACAGGAGCGACAGGAGGAAGACAAGCAGGAAGGCAGCCCTCCCCCTAGGAGTGGGAAGGTCTGGCCCTGGCTGATACCAGCTCACCGGGACAATGTTGTCCTCATGCAGACGGACCAGGTCTCCCACACACAGTTCCTTCCATTTCTTACACAGAAAGCTGTTGGGGGGCGGGGGGATTGCAGGAGGTGTGAGATGGTGCCCCAACCAGACCCATCTTTGGAACCCCTGGTCTCCTGTACCACTCCCAAGCTGGAAGATCTGTAGGAGGTGGAGGCTGCAGATGCCCCTGTGGTGCTTTGCTTCCCTGCATGGCCGTCTGCAGGTCTTTGTGTGGGTGGTGGTGGTGGGGCCTACACAGGAAGTCCAGCCTTCCCTAACCTTGCCCCCTCCCTCCCAGTTCTGCATGCAAGTCCCTCAGCCCTTCTCTGCCTCCCCTTTCAGCTGCTCTCTCAGGCCTGCAAGGGTTAACAACCAGGTCCTCAGACTCTGTCCCCATCACAGGGCACATCCCCAGGCCAGCTAGACAGCAGGCATCAAATAATGATGTCTGCATCGCTGTCAGACATCAGACTCAACTAAGATGTCCAGGGGTCATGGAAGGTCCCGGGTACTCTGCTGGGCACCCCTCCCTAATATGTCCTTACCTCCTCCCCCCACCATGCACACAGCTGTGCTGGAGTCCCCTTCCTCAGGATGAACTCCCCTACACAGTGCCGGAGGTCTCACCTCTTCCCTACCAGCATCTGGCAGGGCCTGTTGTTGACGATCCTGTCACTTATATGTCGCCCCTGAGTCAACAGGGTTTGGTCAGAGGGGTGGCTCCGCCTCAGCCATGCCCACCTCAACCATGCCCCCTTCATCCTGCCCCCACACTGCCTTGGTGAGGGCCCAGGTGCAGAGCACAGTTCCAGCTCATACATGTAGCCCCCTGATAGTGAGTCAACACCAGCTACATATGTCCAGGGACCCTGGTGGGGGAGGGGGGAACTGCAGGGATGATGGCTATTGGCAGCAAGGGCCAAAGGGCCATGGGGCACTTGTACCTGTACCTTGTGGCAGCAAGACAAGGACCCCACCCTGCCCCCAATCCCCTCCCTGGCTGCCCCTTGACCCCACTTACGATGTCGTCCACCAGGTCTCGGGTGGCCCGGATGATGAAGAGGCAGACGAGTGGGACGAGGAGGGTGAACCAGGGCATCGTGGAGATCTCAGTAAAGACAGCCTGACACACAGGGCGGGTCACACCGACCCGCCATCCTTGGACACTTCCCCCAATTGTCTCCCCTTGCCTTCCCACCCAGCCTCTCAACCTGGTATCCTGTGTCCCACCTGACCAAAGCACCTGGGCCCAGGGCCAGCCACCTCCCCCTACAAACCTTGGGACAACTGCCTCTCTATTTCCACTCCCTGCCTGGAACTTCTCCTTGGCAAACTCATACCGCTTCCATGCCAAGCTCCTATGTCACATCCTCCAGGAACCCCAAGCATGTTCCCTCCTCAGAGCCTGGGGTTTACTGTTTCCCTCCCTGTATCCCTGTTTTTCCCAGTCACTCTTCAGGCCCGAGCTCCAAGTAAACCCCAGACAAGCCTGGGTAGGGAGGTGGGTCCCCTTCCCATCACTGAGCCCTGCCATGGGGTTTAATGACATTTGGTATCAGGGCCACTGCTGGGTCCCCATTGTTCAGCATAGGGCCTGCACACAGTATGTTCATGGGATTGATGGATAAAAGCAGAGGGTCAGACCAGAATGAGATGTTTGGTGGGGGTCAGGGTGCTCTGTAAACTGCCCACCCAACTGAGAGATGGAGCTGCCCAGGCCAGATAGATGCCCATCTGGCAGGACCACCCAGGTTCTGGCAAGTGGCCCAGCAGGTCCTGAGAACCTGCTCTCAACCCTTCTTTCCTCCTAATGCTTTGGGGTCAGCTTGGTGGGCTGGGCCAACAGTCATGTGGCCAAGGCTGTCCATCCTGGGGAGGGGCTGTGCCCTCCTTGAACCTAGAAAAGCACTTTTGTACCTTCATCATTGAACATATATTAAGCAGCTTGTGTGCCAGGCCCTGGGGGCTGGGTAGTGAGGATGCTGCCATGAGGGTGTTCCCAGTGTGTGAGGAGCCAGACACTGCCCCGTCTCCCCCACCCATCCAATCAACCAACCAACCAAACAACTGCACAAACAAACACACTTAAACACCCCTCCCACCACCATGTGTCTATAGAGCCATGTGTCAAAGGTGGTCAGGGAGGGCTTTCTAAAGGAGGCAATTCAAGCAGATGGAAGGAATAGTCTGTGTGCAGATGCTGACTCCTGGGGCAGCCCCCCACCAAACCCTACCTGGAGAATGATCACCAAAAGGAAGTAGGCATTAGACATTCGGTGGAACTGCTCGTATAGGTTTAAGGGCAGGAAGGAGAAGAAATTGTACTTGGCCGTGTTGATGATGTTGCCCTAGAGTGAGAGTCAATGTGGGGGTGCTGCCCAGGACTGCCTCACCCTGCCCTTTGACCACTATGAGTAATAAATGAGCACCCAATGCCTGCAAAGCCTCAAGCCAGCTCTACTGAGCATCAGTTGAATACAAAACCTTCAGGCCAGCATTTACTGAGTACCAGCTGAGTGCAAAGCCTTGAGCCAGCATTAATTGAGCCCCTACTGGATGCAATGACTCATGGGACAGGGCTGTGACCCCAGTATTTCCCAAAGTGAGTCACATACACAAGGGGATTTTAGCTAGAGCCTGATGTACTCTGAAGGTTTAGCATTAACTTATAATATAAATTGGGGTGGGGGAGGGGAAACAAGGCAAAGAAACACAGGACAAATTCTAGCACCAAATTGGTGATTCGCTCATGATTAAAACTGGGGGAGGGGGTTCGCTGGGTGGGAGGAGGCAGGAGAGAGCAGTGGGGCTGGGCCACCCACCTTGTATTTCTTCCTCTGCCAACACAGGAAGGCCTTTTCCTTGAACTGGTTGTTGTAGGCTCTGTCGTTGGCCTTCACCTCCCAAGTGAACACTGAAGCCAGTAAAGGTGGGGAGTTGCATGGGGTGCAGAGGAAGACTGCCTAATGATCCCCCAGAGGAGGGCTAATGGGCGGGGGGGGGGGGGGCTCAGACACTGGGGACTCCTGGCTCTTGGCCATAGGTGTGGGAGCTGGTAAACAGCCACCACCCTTGGCCAGTCCCTAGGCTGAGGACAGGCCCCAGAGATCCGTTCATGTCCACTCCTACAGAGGGGGTAAAAACTCAGGCTGCTCGCCCAGCTATTTCAGGTCTGCAGCCCCCAAATCCCGAGTCTAGCATTCAGTCATGAGATTTGGAACTACTCCTAACTCAAGGAGCACCCCATGCTTGGTCTGTCGAATGGGTTTGGGGAGGGGTCTCCTCATCAGCCACATACACCTCTGCTATGCCCCTTGGCTTACTCCACAGACCCCACCCGCCCCACACGGAGCCCCGGAACATGCACCTAATTTCTTCTCAAGGTCCTCGCCATAGGGCAGGCTGCCCGTGCTGGTGCTGAAGGAGCTGTCGGGAGGAGAGGGGCCCAAGGTCACCCCAGCGGTCCAGCCCTTGCCGGACACTGTCCATGAATTCTGCTCTCTCCAAAACGTCACCTGCCACTTCATCGCCTCCCCCGGCCCAGGTTCCGTAGGTCCCCCCAGGATGAAGGGTGTAACCTCCTCCGGCCTGGCTGCGTCGGAGTTTGTGGGCCGAGCACGTGGGCCCGGGGCTCCACGTCCGGCCCGAGGCCCGTGCAGAGGGCCAAGCTGCCCCGAGTAGAGCGTGACCCCGGGGCCCTGCCATGGGGCGCAGAGTGGAACCTCCCCGCGGCCGGTCCCCCCGCCCCTCCCCCTCCCGCTGGCCCCGGCAGCTCCCAGCCTGGCCGCTGCTCGAGGGCTGCCCCGGCGCCCTGCCCGCGTGCTGGTCGTGCGGTCCTCACCCTTCCGCTTTCCGCTCGCAGCTCTCCATCGGGCCCAGCTTGAACAGGCACCTCTTCCGGGCCCCCCTTCTGCGTGGGCTGTCCCCCATCTCAGGTCTTGTCACCCCCTCTCCTCTGAGCTGCTGTCCCTATCTGGGCGGGCTTTCGACGCGGAAACCTCCCGGGTGTGCAGGGCGGTGGACCTCGTGGAGCTGTTGGGGCCGTTAGGGCCGTTAGAGGGCGGGCAAGGATCCTGAACCAGGCGCGCAGGCGCGGGGCGGGGCTTAACGGTGCGGCTGAGGGTGGGGCCATGGCAGGGAGGGCGGGGCCTCGAAGGGACGGTCCTGTGGGCAGGGCCAGGCACGGGCCCTGTTGGGGAGGGTCTCCGGAGTGGGTCAGCAGAGGGCCGCTGCAGTGGGCCAGTGGCAGGGTCTTGGACAGCGAGGTGACTGGGGGACTTAATGCACAGCAGGGCCTGTCATTTCCAGTCGGACTTTGCAAAGCTGGGCCTGAGTCGGGTGGGCTGGAGCCAGCAGAGGTTGGGTGGGGTCAGTATGGGACCAGGTCCCTGGGCCGGAGTCTGAGCGGCCGGGGTTTTCACACCTCCTATGCGCAGGCGCAGTTGGGCATCGGGCTGGGGGAGGCCGTTTGAGCCACCGAGACCATCCCAAGGCCAGGAGGAAACCCACAGGGCTCTGGCGTGGTGTGTGTGCCCACTCAGCGGGCACTGGGCTCTTGGTGGGGAACTTGATGGGGGCGGGAAGACAGTGGTAGGCGGGGGCCGGCTCCAGTCGGAGATGAGGAACAAGAGCAAGGGTGGGAAGGTATGTGGACGGGGCTACTAAAGTTAGGGTGCACTTGAGTTGGGCTCACGGGGAAGAGCAAACTTGGGGACACAGGGTCTCCCTGTGATTAAGCTCTGTGTCTCATATTTTCCCATTTAGGAGCCCTCTGAAACTTAGACATTAGGAAGGCTGTAGGCTCTGGGGACCCTCACTGTGGCCCAGTCCTGATCTAACAGAGGGGGGTGCCTGTGTCTGACTGAAAGCTAGTGTCTTCTCCCCACCTGAATCTGCCCCCCCCCCCCCCAGGCACCAGCATCACCGATGAGCAGATGTTGGGTGAGTGAATGAATGAACAAGTGAAAAGTACGGATTCCACTTTCCCCATTAGAACAGCAACCTCTCAATCACATTTCTTTGGAAACCTGTCTGTGTATTCTACTTGGCCTCTAGGGGTGCTAAGTAAACTCCTCCTTTCGTTATTCACGCTCATTCACTCAACAATTGATCATCCAGCCCTATCCAAGTGGTCAATGAGAAAGAACCTGGGGAAGGGGCTTCAGGAGAGACCTTGCTGGGTGCAGCTGTGAGGAGGGGGTCAGGGGACCTGACTTCCTCTCTGGGATAATTCCAGCCTGAGAGGAACTTCCCAAGCAGTGAGAAAAGGGTTTTGGCCTCCAGGGCCAACAGGTTTGGCAAGCTGAAAGGGGTGTAGACACCACACAGAAATGGGTTTCTGTGAAGCCACTGGCAACCAATTATTTAGAAAACTCTTGTTTACAGAAGAGGAGGGGTAAAATCAACTGGTTACAAGAACAGTGGTAGGGGCCTGGCTGGCCCAAGCCCTGTCCCCCTCCAGGGTCCCCAGGACCTGGAGAGGAAACCAGATGCAGCCCTGACCCAGGAAGTCTCTAGGGGAAGGGGCTTCCTGCCCTCTTGGCCTTTAGCAAAAGCCAGAGTGACAGGCGACAGGCGCCTCCTCCTGGCCCTGCTCTCAACATCAGGACCTGGGGACCCCTAGAATCTCCTGTCCCACAAGGCTTTTTCTGGCTTCACTTTTCTTTTTGAATAAATAAAAAACTGGGAAAATGAACAGCCCTGGCTCTCCCATCCCCAAGAACCAGAACAAACACAAATGGAGTGGGATTCAGAGCACTGGGCACACACATTTCTGGGTATCAGCGAACAGCACAGTGGGCTGTGGCCACTCTACCCTTTCCATAGTAGCTTCTTGGAGTTGGCTGCTGGCTCCCAACAAGGGACTGAAAGTAGGTGAGGGGGCAGCCTGGGAACTGGAGCTGACTTTCCTGCTTCCTCAGTGGGGCAGGTCCTGGCCACAGGGACAATGAACTTCACAGTGTGTGGAGCTACACCTGGCACCCCACAACATCTAAAATCCGCACATTTATTCTGTTCCCGCCTGGGGGTGGGGTAGTGGGGGTATGGCCCTGGGGAGAAGAGGGGATTGAGGTATTGAGGGGAGAGAGAGTTGGGGCATTGAATGGGGGGCTGTGGGCCTTCACAGACGGCTCCTAGGTGAGGGCAGGGCTCCTCCACATGCACGAGAGGTTCCAGGTTCCGAGACAGAAAGGAAACTAGGGTATATAAGACATTCTGAGCTAGGGATAAAGTAATACACCTTCAGGGCTTCACAGGGTCATTGCAGAATGAAAGGAGGCCCTCACCACCCAACCAGCTCTGATCTGATATCCGTAAATTAATTTCCCGTCAGTGTTTGTATTCAGTTAGCTACAAGTGTAAAAGTAAATGATGTAAACATTATGCTTTTACTTAGAATGAGTGATTATTTTATTACTGAATATGTGAAAAATAATTTTTGTAATATGCATACCATGGGTTCTATGGTTCAGAAAAGAGAAATAAAAAGTACAAGTACTGAAAAGTATAAAATATTTTTTCAAAATTTTTCAATACTTTTTTCCATGAATGTTTACATATTAGAAATATGTTTGTTGTTTTATCTGTTTCTCTACATAAATACTTTACTAGAAATTAATTTCTGAATCCTTAAACAACTTTTTACTAATGATACTTAAAGAATAAAATAATTCCAGTTAGGTGCCATAATATTTTATTGCCTTTGAGTGACTTTTTGTGTATTGTTGACAAATGAATGTCAGTTACTAAGCTGTCATTGTGGTTAACAGTAGATGCCTGACTTGTATGACTAATTATTCTAGTGCTTTATCAACCTCATTCATTATCAATTTTTGAAAAATTTTTTGCTTTTAAGTTAAGAAAAATTATTTTGTACCACACAAAATATGATATTTCTTAACCTAATTACATAACACACACTAAAAGCTAGAATTAGCAATAGCACCTGTTGGGTGGGGGGTAAAAACTAACATATTAGATCATAAGGTAGGTTTCCCACCTGTTGCTTTTTGTACAACTGGCTTGACACAGGCACAACAGCATGAACCGAACAGATGGGTCCAAGCCTCCCCTGGTAGTAAACTGAATCATGGGTGCCCGTAAAATTTACATGCATGTATATACACTCAGGTGGATGACAAATGCTGTAGATACATTTAGCCCCCTAATCAAGTCACGCTAATGTGAAGGCTGGATCTGCCAGTCGAGAAGGACCATGTGGCTTCAGATACAAAGGTATTGGCAAATTTTGTTTCGCAATATTCTGGCGTCGCTTTTGCTTTCTGCCAAAAACAAAATGTTTAACTCTAGCTTTCTGCTCTATAAGATTTCTTAAAGATCCATAGTATAAATGAGACTGTATATATATAACTTGACACACAATATTTTCCTGAATTCTGTTACTTCTTCATTCACCAAGTTTTCAAAGGTGGTGGGCATTCTTAGCTATATTTGAAACTGATTAGTGCTAATAACATTCCATAATATTAATATTATTACCAAGGCCTTGGCAGATACCCTCTTTCTTTTTTTTTTTTTTTTTATCCTCACCCGAGGACATTTTTCCAATTTTTGTACAGATAGAGTGGAAGGGAGAGAGAGAGAGAGAAACATCGACGTGAAAGGGACACATCAAGTGGCTGCCACCCGCACGACCAACCAGGGCCGGGAACAAACTGCAACCGAAGTACGTGCCCTTAGCGGACACCGAACCCGGGTCTCTCCGGACTGCAGGCCGACGCTCTAACCGCTGAGCCAAACCGGCCAGGGCCCCTCTTTCTTTTTTCTACTCTTTTATTTTGCCTTTAATTTTTTCATAAAAACATTGCTGTTTACATAAGAAAAATAGTAATCAGATAAATTTAAACATGAGCCATATCATAGCAAACCAGAGAGTATACAGCAAGTGCCATACCAGTAAAAGATTCTGTGAATGCAGCATGTTGTCTGCAAGACTGAAGAGGCTCTGACATCATTCAGGGGCCCTTGCTTTGGCAGGAAAGGAGCAATGCTGACATCTAGTGCTCAAGAGTTATAAGACAAGGGCTGCTACTTTTTTTGTAAGCCTGAATTCTAAGTGACCTGCATTACACTGAGGACAAAGACAAGGACACCTGGGCTATAGACAAGTGAAAAGGTCAACTTCAGTCCACTGCCTAACCTCAGAGTTATCTAGTGGGGCATTTACATTAGTGAGAAAGACCAGAGTTAGAAATGACTGTCTATTGCTGACATTAAATAAGTAGTGATTTCCATCATCACTTTGTGAGGACTCAGACTTCCTGCCAAGTGAAGATAGCGTGTCACTGAAAAAAGAGAAAGAAAACATAAGGAAATGGTGGCAGAAGCTGTGATATCAACACTCATTTAAAAGCTTTGGAATTGCAGACCCCTAGGTTGCTGACTGCCGGTGCTACTGACGTTGAGACCATCCAAAAGCCCACAAATGCTGGCTATGAGTACTCCTCCACTCGTGGTGGCTGGCTCCCAACTCTAACCTCTCAGAGGGTCAAATAATCCACTTGCA